AGGGGGGGGGGGGGGGTTCTATTACAGGAATTCAATTGTCCCTGTGTCCAGGGGCTGATCTGGGGGCTCAGGGGGAAGTGGAGATAGGCAATAGAGTCATGATTTCTGCTCTACCCAAAAACTTTAAAACCTGCGAGGGGCAGTCACATTACTATTCAGGCAGTGGTGAGAGAGTCAATTGATAATATCTAATAATGGCTCATTATTAGATACCCAGTTCCTGTTAATCAAATCTCCACTCCACCAGTGTTAATGACTCTTGATCCTTTTTAACGGTTTTGATTTCCACTATTCAAAACTACCCTTTCTTCTCTGCAGCTAAAAACCAACTCAAATGTAGTAATATTAAACTCAGGTATTCAGACGACTGACAGTGAAGTATTGGAAGCATTGTCAAGACACTCAAGAGATGTACATATAACTATAATAACTACAGAACTAATGAAACAGTATATTTTTACTATATTGGCCATTTTTGCCTAGTTTCTTTGCCTAGTTTTTTTAAACTTTATATATAAAGATAGCAAATTAGTGAAATTCCAATACATTTTGCTTTGATTTTAAAACTGAATAATATAGCACTAAACTTGTAACATATTAGTAAAGTTTCCAGTTTCTCTCTGCAAACCACCCCTCCCCCAATCCTAGATCTATGATCCTAGGATTACCTACAGACCTCAGGGCACATTTATTGGGATACACCCATAGGAAGTTTACGGTCATATTGGAGCTTCAGCAGAAGCTGCAGAATCAAGAGATAAAAAGGTACAGATAGAGTATTCCTTATATATTTGTCAAAACCGAATGCGAGATATAACATTGACTCCAATAATGTACCTTGCGACTAAGAGCCATAAGGCCTAGACACCTATATTCTATGCCCTAGCATAACCTAACTTCATGGGAGTTAATTAATATAAGGGTCTGTAATGCTAGGTAAATAAGACTCAAGGCAACAGAAGGAAGTAGTTATGCAAGAAAGCAGATAGGTCTTATCAGTAAAATTGAATTTCAGATTAGGAAGTGCAGCTTCTTTTCCTGGAACATGAACAAACTCTAGGTGATAAGACACTGCTTCTGATTTGCAATAAATAGAATTAGAGCAGAGACAACTGAAATGAAAAATTGCCTGGTATTGTGAGCTGTGAGAAGCTGACAAGACAAGAATGCTGGTAAATGATCAGAAAAGTATCACTTCCTGCAGCCTGCTTGATTTTGGAGAGATCATAATTAGACACTTGTGCTGAAGTTCATCAAGTTTGCTGGTTTAGGTATGTAGCTGTGAAACGGGGTACATTAATTTTCAGTTTAGCGCAGCACTCAGTTAATAGTCAGAATCTAGGACCTTATTAGAAAGTTAATTTCCCATACAGATTTATAATATCCTAGGACAAGACCCTTTATTTCTAATAATTTAGAAAGTCCAGATCTGTCTGTTCAATTCAGGCATCCATAGATCTGGAGACTATAAGAATGCATCAGTAACGTATGCTCTGATGTGAAGATTTTCTCCCACAATCCTAGAAAGAGAAGCAAAAAGTGAATTAAAGCAGTTTTACCTAGGATAACACTTCCCAAAGAATAAAAAGGTAGACGCCCAAAATAAATAAATAAATCCCATTTTCAAAAGGATGTTGGACTAGATGCAATAAATGTTTTTAATTAGGTACTGCAGCACTTGACTCCCAAAGTGAAAAGCAACACCCAGAATTGGTATCTAGGTTCTCGTCACAGTGTCTGGAAGAGAAGTCAGTGTTTCAGCAGGGAAGTCCAAAAAAACCCGTATGCTAAGTAGGAAGACCGGATCAATGAGAACCACAAAGCCAGGTTGTCTGAAATTCTATTCTCTGTCTAGAGCTTAAGTGCCCAAGTCAAGAGCTGCACTCAGGGTTCAGAGCCCATGATCCTTGTAGCATAAATAGTTCTGAAGACATAGATGCAAATCTATAATATTATTCTTAGAATAGATCTTATTTAATATGTGGGGAGCAGTCATGATTTTCTATTTACTTTTAGAGTGCTTTATTATGACATTTCATAGCAGATGTATATTATTCATATTCTAAGCTCTGACTTTGGAACAATAGGAATTCAAACAAGATAGAAAACTACTTCTAGTACAAAAATGTGAGTTTTTCCTTTACTTCCTAGGCCAATTTCTGCTTTCAGATTAAGTCTAAATTGTCAAGTGAATGCCAGCACGCTCTTGCAAGACAGGTATTTTAGCCAGTGATGCTGAGTCCCCAGTATACTGTGTCAATGTAAAATAGGCAGGAATATATTGGATGTTCTCACAAATGCAAAATAATGTTCCTCTATCTGTCTGTTAAGTTTTCACAGGACATCTTTCAGAGGTACCAATGCTGCATTCCTACAATACTGATCGGGGGCCAAGTTTATTCTCCGAACATTAAGCTCCGTTGCAAAGGTTCTTGCCTTCTGGTAAAAAAACAGTGACATCTCCCGATCCACAAGGAAGTGGTGGTAGATAATTGCAAGTCTTGTATAAATCTTCAATTGAGCCTTTTTGTTCCCCAAGTCCATAGCAGCTGCAAGTGCCAGATGATAGTATCCTGCTGCATCAAAAGGATCCTGAAATAGAGGTTATATAAAATGTATTATACAAAGCAATGTACGATAATAATAATGTAAGCGAAAGAAAAAGTTGGGTCTCAATCATAAATTCTGTACTCAAACTAAAGGGATTAGGTACTTGGACCAGACTTTCAAAAAAGTGCTCAGCACCTAGGGGGATTTTCACGAATGACAGTAGCCAAAAGAGGCTATTGTTCTAGCCTGGAGTTCTTGTGGGGAACACTTTGGAGGGCTGCATGAGCATCTTTTGCTGTAGACAATTTTAGAATATGACACCTGCATGGTCTTTTTGCTACAGAAGACTATAACAGTCTGGGCCTGGCAGCAAGCCCCAGAGACTGACTGCTCTTTGACTGGTCCCTGGTGACATCATGTTTCATTTCAGTGGAAGAATTAGTTCAAGTTGACTACTACACTTTTGCTATGCTTTGCTGCTAATGTGGCTCACTGTGCTGGAGGCTAAGAAAAAGAGCCTCTGAGAGAGTTGGAGAGAAGAGAGAAATCAGGAGTTCCCTTCCCAGGAGTGCAGCAAAGAATTAGCTCTCTGAGGTTACTAAGGATAGCCAGAGGAGCCAGGAACAAAGAAGAGCCAGGGTCTCAAAGTCTTTAAAGCTTGCTCTTTAAAAGCCATGCTAGGGTGGGGTGATGGGGGTCCCTTCAGGACAGAGACCAGACAAGGATTTTTATGGGTAAAGGGAGCCCAGAGGAAGCGCTTCCCCTGAAAATCCACAACAGTGACTATGCAGGTTAGGCCTTTAACTGCAAGTCTCTTCTCTCAATATTTTTATTGGAAAATTCTGTTTGTGACCAACAGGAATGGGCACAGCCATTTAAAAAAAAATAATAAAAGCAGAGTTGCTGGAACAGGAGCTTCTGGTGGTGATGCTGACCATGTTTTGAGCACTTGCTCACAAAGTGGGAAGTACTGGGTTTTGTCAGTGGGGAATGCTGAGGTCCCATCCCTGCTCCCTGGTTTTATTAGTTTATTATGATTTATTATTTTATTTTACATAATTTCATAGACATTAGGGCTGGAAGGGACCTCAGAAGATCATCGAGTCCAGCCCCCCGCCCAAAAGGCAGGAAGTCAGCTGGGGTCATAGGATCCCAGCAAGATAAGCATCCAAATTACTCTTGAAGGTGTTCAATGTAGGTGCTTGAACCACCTCCGATGGCAGGCTGTTCCAGACCTTGGGGGCTCGGACAGTAAAGAAATTCTTCCTTCTGTCCAGCCTGAAACGGTCTCACAGTAGTTTATGACTGTTTGATCTCACCATCCCTTGGGGCGCTCTGGTGAACAAACGTTCCCCCAGATACTGGTGGTCACCCCTGATAAACTTATAGGTGGCCATCAGATCACCCCGGAGCCTGCGCTTTTCCAGGCTA